AAATTCTTCCAATTAATATGTAACATATCTAGTAAAATACGTAAATCTTACATATATCATATGATAATTTTTATAAATGTATACACCCCTGTGACCACCATCCAGAGCAAGCAAGGTACGGACTACCTCCAGCTCCTACCATGTTCTCTCTTGCCCCTTTCTCAAACCAAGGTCATCGTTATTCAGGCCTCTATCACCATGGATTAGTTTTGCCTGTTCCTGAGTTTCACGTAAATGGAATCTTATTATATGTACTCTTTTGTGACTGATTTCTTTCACTCAGTATGAAATCTGTGAGAATCATCTATGTATTAATAGCAGTAATCTGTTGGTTTTCATTGATGTGTAGTATTCCAGTGTAGGAAAGAAAAGCAATGGATTTACCCATTCTACTGTGGGTGGACATTTATGTTGTTTTCAGTTTAGAGCTATTTTGTCACACTTCAGTCTTCTTTCCTTCTTTCCTTCTTTCCTTCTTTCCTTCTTTCTTTCTTTCTTTCTTTCTTTCTTTCTTTCTTTCTTTCTTTCTTTGACACAGTTTCACTCTTGTTGCCCAGGCTGGAGTGCAGGGGCGCCATCTCGGCTCACTGCAGCCTCCGCCTCCTGGGTTCAGGCGATTCTCCTGCCTCAGCCTCCCAAGTAGCTGGGATTACAGGTGCCCACCACCATACCTGGCTAATTTTTTGTATTTTTAGTAGAGATGGGGCTTCACCATGTTGGCCAGGCTGATCTCAAACTCCTGACCTCAGGTGATCCGCCTGCCTCGGTCTCCCAAAGTGCTGGGATTATAGGCATGGGACACTTCAGTGGTTTTACTTGATGATGACCCTACACGTTGTTGAGGTTTATAGAACCGAGGGCCCCACGCACATTGCTCAGTTGTGTCTACTCTTTCATACCGCGCACTCTTCGTTGGTTTGTCTCTCTGCTGTTTAGAACAAACCTGGAGCTTCCTATAGGAATCTGATCTCCACTTACATTTGATTGTAAAACTAAGTAAAATATGCTCTGTGCTTGGAAAAGTGGTGGTTCTCTTTATTTTATCTTTATTTCTTATTCTTCTTATTTTTGAGACCAGGTCACTCTCTGCTGCCCAGGTTGGAATAC